GTGGCCTGTCAATTACGAAATTTTCAAACTGCAATAGTATCAAAACAACAAAAATTATGAATAATAGAGATGGACCATTTTGTACATATATCAAGGGGAAACTTCGTGCGAAGCATAATTATTTATAGTTTAATTGCATTTAGTAGAAAAAGAGAATTTGGTGAAAATAAAATCAAGATTTTTGTAGAAAATCCACAGCCTTTAATACAGAGATTTTTGTTATAAAATTTTAAACATATATTACTCACTTGTTTTTCTATGATCGGCTAGCGTTTATTGTTTACAAAAATTCCTAGACAACCTTTTAATTCCAAAACACCTCGTGCTGAGTCACTAAAGTTGAGCGCACCCTCAAAGGTGTACTTGAATTGGTGCATATTTATATTTGTTTTCACCAATATCTAAATTTATAAACTTGTTTTAAGGAAATCATTGCTAGCACTGCATGCAATAATCCTCTATCAATCAAGCATCGAATTGCCAAATATTAGAGTACAAGGGGAAAGGCTGTGGGTTTTCTATAAAATTTCCATATGTTTAGTATTGAATTAACACAAGGGTACATAATCCTTTATCCGTTGGACACTAATCTTTCACTATAGATACTGTTTATATACTTTTGTATGTTATTATGAAGTCAGTTTAGGTTTTAGGTCTGGTGCTGTCTATACCTTGCTAATAAAGTTAAGGTTCATCATCATCTTTTAGCAAATATGGCCGTATTTACGCAACAAATTTTATTCTGAGTACAGACAAACCTGTGCACTTGGTAAAGTTTTAAGGCATGACAGGAACTAGATAACTAATTTTAAAAGCATTAAAAACTTTCATAGATCTTTAGATTCCTTTTTTGCCGTTCCCACAGAAGGTGCCAAAATAAACTAAGTTGGGAAAAATGTTATCAGAGTCGAGTGCCTGTGTTGAAATTGTGTAAATGAGTATCAAATGAAATTCAGTTGTTTGTTTATTTTGGCACTTCTGTGGAAGCGAAAATAAAGGAATATCAATATCAAGGTAAGTTTAAAACTTTCTGAAACACAAAATGCATTTGAAATTTAATTATCTAGTTCCTGCAATGCCTTAAAACTTTACAAGAGACACTGGTTTGTCAGTACTCAGAGTAAATTTTGATGTGTAAACAAGGCCATTTTTTTCATTTCCTTCTGATGAACCTTTAAGTATTGGTCCAAATGCAGGAGTCACCAAAAAGAGGTACTTAAAGGGGCACTAGCTACGAGATTCATAAAAAGTCTAAAATATGATTTGTTTTGTTCATCCATTAATGAAAGTGAAATAGTGAAATAATTATTCGCTTTTAGCAGCCAGTATGGTTCAATTTTGTCATAATAAGCTAAGAAACATTGATGATGAATTATTTTGTACATAAATCAGGCCATTGCTTTTCTTGTTTAAATTGTTTTTTTCCCTTCATTTTGTCATGTCCGGGCCTTTATAGCTGGCTATGTGGTAAGGGTTTTTTGCTCATTGTTGACGATCGTACGGTGACCTTATATTTGCTCACTTAATATATACATCAGTTGGTCTCGAATGGAAAGGTGTCTCATAGCAATCATATACTACATCATCTTATTTTTATTTTGAATAAGAATATGGATATCATATTTTTGTGCAGTTTTTAATTAAATATTATTGAAAATATAGGGAATTTTCGTTGAATTAAAGGAGCACTTGCTACGAGATATATAAAAAAATCTAAAATATGATTTTTTTTTGTTTAATCATTAATGAAAGTGAAAGAGTGAAATAATTATTCGCTTTTAACAGCCAGTATGGTTCAATTTTGTCAAAATAAGCTAAGAAACATTGATGATGAATTATTCACTTGCAAGTGAATAATTCGACCTCATTGAATCCGTATTCATGTGAACTTCATCTTAACCCCTTAGCTAGAGATAATAACGCATGAATTGTGCGTGACAAGTTATTTAATGGAAAAGAATGTCAACATTGAAAGTGAAACAAAGGTAAATCATTTGATTAACTGATTCGATCCACAAAAAAATCATTTTTATACAGGTAAAAACGATGATATACATATATTTTTAATCTATATTATGAAATTAAACAGACCTAGAAAAATCCAATTGCACGAGTACGCTTAATCTATTTATATCTATATTTATGTTTACATCGCTTATATGGTCATTGGAGTTCTTCGAAGGTCAACTCGATAGTTAATTAGATTGCGTCTAGACTAAAATACACTCGAAACAAAGCTTCATATTATCGATCCCATGCCCTGTAAATTGTTTATTTTAGACTTTTGATAGTTTGGATAAATGTTTTGCATTGTTATAAATCAAATATGAGAATTTGAGTCAAATCGGTGAACAGGAATTTGACAGCTAGTGCCCCTTTAAAAGGACACTCCGATAAACATAGATATGAGTATTTCAGCACTTTAAAATACATTTAGATACACAAATGTTCAAAAATATATGATCTTGTAAGTGCTTGCATAGCCGATGCACATAAACAAGTTTACTAAAGTTATACAAATGGCAAGTGTTCAAAGGACATTAAATATACAAGTATGTCAAGTTAGAATAAAGTGCAAAAAATATTTGGATTTGGATACAGCCTCTAGTACAACTTGTACCAAAGCTCTGAGAAAAAAATCTTAAAAATCATTTAAAGCCAATTGAATAAATAATGAGGATTTTTCATTATATTTTATGAAAGCACGTATTTCCATCAAGATATGATTATTTATAATATCCAAACCCAAATAAACTGAACCTCACTGATCCTTGGTAGTCAACTTAACAAAGTTAGCACAATGTGATAGTTTGCTTCTCTCATTTTTTAGTGAAATACAATTCAGAAGAAACAAGAATGTGTCCATAGTACACGAATGCCCCCCGCACTATCATTTTCTATGTTCAGTGGACCATGAAATTGGGGTCAAAACTATAATTTGGCATTTAAATTAGAAAGATCATATCATAGGGAACATGTGTACTAAGTTTCAAGTTGATTGGACTTCAACTTCATCAAAAACTACCTCGACCAAAAACTTTAACCTTAAGCGGGACAGACGGACGGACGAACGGACACACAGACCGAAAAACATAATGCTCCTAGGTGGGACATAAACATGCAATTCATCACCACATTCAGAGCTTGTGCATCTGGGACAAGCTCTATCGTGTCGAGGAAAATTAGTTAGTTCCTGATATCTTCCCTTTTCAATCTTAAGAGCGTGTACTGACACGCGCAACCTTGCCTCTCATATCAACACTATGGATTAATGGAGGTAAAAATGGTTTGAAAAATACGGGAAAACATCATTAAAACAGAACAGTTGCTTCGAAACATGCATAGGATTTCCCGTACTATCATACTATTTCCACCTCTATCCAAAAATCTTCCCCCTATTCAATATGGCCGAACTAACTGTGAAGTGGCCTTTTATGACGTCTTGAAAGGCTATTTTTTTTCTGTGACGCCTTCCTTTCAAAGACTTCATAATTATTTGGATTATTTTGACGGCACTGTTTTTAAAATGAATGTCGTGCAGTATGCTGTAAAGTAATATATCATTCGGTTTGTGGAATTTTGCTTTAGAAAAACTCGATCTTTAAACAGCATTTTCGAACGTCATACATTATATGCAGGCCCGTAGCCAGGGGTGGGGGTTTGTAGGAACCCCTCTTTGAAAACAAAAAAGCACTATTAAAGTAGATGTGTGTGAAAAGTCGATATTTATTTTTGTTGCAAGTTGATTTTCATTTGCCATATCCTTACAAGAGACACATGCTGTCCCTGCTAGCTTGATCAACTTAAGATTAAATAATTCTTTAATGTATTTTTTAAAGTTTTGTAATCAGTAACTGTAAGTTGAACAAATATGAAATCAGTACACGTGGAGAAAAAGAAAGGCAATACACATTTCCTTTTGGGGAGATCTCCTACTTTAGAGGTTTGAAAAGTTTATCTAGCATAATTTCCCCGCTTTTGGAGTTGGGGTAGGAAGAAAGAGAGACCCCCTCGTGTAGCTCTAAGATGGTATGTATCTGCAATATTTGTATTTTATTCATTTATAAATCCGAGCAGAATAATTAATCCTCAATTCCAATTCTGTAAGCCAACTTATTTTCATGACTTTTTCTGAGTGGACCTATAAAGTTAATATATAAAGTCCCTAATTTGTAAAACTTTGATCTACCCTTCAGAGAATAGTCAACAAAAATTACAGCTACTTAGTTCACTAAAAAAGGCTTGTAAATAAGTTGGTTAAAATCTATAGTATGTATATTTGAAGTATGTGTATCTGCTACATCTTTTCATTTCCAACTTACTTTATGATTTGATGGGAGTGGGGGCGGATGGAGGGGGTGGGGGGGGGGGGGGGGGCATCATGGACATAATACCATTGTTTTTAAGTAATAAACGGTCAAACAGCAGAGCATTAGAATAGATGTCAATGTTCAAAAATCTTTGTCATGTTTGTCATTACTGACGTTTTGTGTCTATTATTAAAAATTAAATGTATAAGTCAAATAAATTATTCTTCTTACTCATCTACACATCCATGTATACATATACCAAAGTGCTTTAACTTGTCGTTACCATCTAAAAGGTAATTTCATACTGTAAGTTATATAAAGAAATGAAATAGTACATGTATATCAAAGGTGTATATAATTATGTGTAAATATTTGATTTACATCAAACCCATCAAACCAAAAAAAGTTCTTTTGAAATATTTATCTGCTTACTACTATATCTTTCTTATTTGAATCAATTTCAAATTTATTCATCGAGATTTTTTGCAACAATGGCAAAAGGTTCATCATTAGGAACCTCATTCAATTTCACGTCATTGAAGACAAATTATAAATTAAAAATTATGACCCTTTCAGAGAGATATACAGCTTGTGATGTATGCCCTTATATTTTAACTTATTAATCTTATGTTAGTGATGTACTGGCTGCTACATGTATGTATCATAAGAATTTAACAATGAAATATAAAATTAAGTTACTTACCTAAGTGCCAAACGTAGTTAGGACCCTGAAAAAGAAATACGAACACAACCGAATAGGGCAAACAAAACTGTGTAAAGTTTCAAGTGAATTAATGTAACTTGCAACAGGAATATTTCCATACACTTTTGTTCATTTCTTGTGAATTTGAAGGTCAGAATTTTGTTTTCAAAGAGGACATTATACATACTTAAAATACTTGTATCAAACGGTTTGTAGCCTTAACTGCACGAAACTTCATAACTGTATGTGTAAAAACATTGAGGAATAATGTGTTGAATGCAATAGTTAAAACCGGCAATGATTTTAATGACATAAATAAAACTGCAAATTCCTTAGGAATTGATGAAGCTACTGTCTTTTCTCAGTAACATGAAGATTTCAAGTACATTATATAATTTAATAATTGAATTTGCGACTATCAAATGGCAGTAAATCAATGTTTTTTTTTACAATCATGGAGAATGCGAAAAGTTTGAAGGTATGTACATATAGGTAGTAACCCTCTTTCAATGATATCTTGAAATGAAAAGATAATACAGAATATATTATCAAGCGACAAATTAATACTTACTTGGCACATACAACTAGAAATTATGGATTATGGAAAAAACATTCAATATGACCTTTTTAATTTTCCCTGATAAAAATGCATCCAACTTGTAAATAAGATCAAGTATTGTTACTACAAACATGTATGTAGAACAAATACAAATAAGAACTTCTTTCTTTAAATAACATACCTTGGATAAGTATTGTCTTCTCCTTAATCTTCTACCTTTACGCCTTTTAATACCATCAGCATCTAAGATTCTAACAAGTTCTCTTGAAAGAACCTAGAGAAAAAATATCCATATAAATCATGTGACAAAGAAGTGTACGATGCATGTGCAAAACCTTTTGATATCAAGGAGCCACAATGGTCAATTAAAAATGTTATTGGATCAATTTTCGACATTTGACGTCTGAAGCAAACATATGACGTCACCTTTTTTAGCTCACCTGGCACATGGCCCGAGGGGCGATGTGAGCTTATGCCATCACTTGGCGTCCGTCGTCGTCCATCGTCTATCGTCGTCGTCGTAAACTATTTCAAGAATCTTTCCTCTGAAACTACTGGGCCAAATACCTTCAAACTTTAAATAAATGTTCCTTAGGGTATTAGGTTAATAAATTGTATCCGAAGTTTTGATCCATCAACAAACATAGGGGTCGAATGCAGTTTTTGGCTTATATCTCAAAAACTAAAGCATTTAGAGCAAATCTGACACGAGGAAAAATGTTTAATAGGTCAAGATCTATCAGCCCTGAAATTTTCAGACGAACCCAACAACCCATTGTTGGGTTGCTGTCACTAAATTGGTAATTTTAAGGAAATTGTGCAGTTTTTGGTTATTATCTTGAATATTATTGAAGTAACCTTCAGACCAAGAGGACAACTTATTGTTGGGTTACTGTCCAGAAATAGTTAATTTTTTGGAAATTTTACAGTTTTGGGTTATGTATTACCTTTAATATTATTATAGAAATGGTAAATGACAAAATTGTTCAGCAAAGTATGATCTACAAATAAATCAAATGCCTGAAACTGAAATTACAGGTGCATACCTGCCAACTGTCACTATCACCCATGGAGGCCCCCAATTGGAAATTTTTAAAGAGCAATTTTGTCCACAATTTAAAATAAAACAATCAATTTTACTACGGATATATGATTGTAAAAGTAGGAAGAAGCAATTAACATAATTGAAATAAATTTGAAGGCCCTTTACAGGTTTTGTGGGACAATGAGAGCCATCTTGCATGCTAAACCCCCATGGGCATTTTGAAATGTTGGCAGGTATGCAGGTGAGCGATATCAGGCTCTCATGAGCCTCTTGTTTAGTTTCATGATGACATCATTTAGGAGAATTATTGCTTTATGAAAATTTACACAGAAATAATAACTGAAATGGAAGAGCTTGTTTATTTTGCATTAGAAAAGAAATAACTGTATTGTATTTCAAGCTTGATCTATATAAAACCTAGGTTTCACTGTCACACATTGAGTTTACCTGGTCATATAAATAGTCAAGGCATAACACGGAAAAGCCAATTCTGTGTATTAATGTGTTTCCTCTAAAAGAAGATATACTGTAATTATACTGGTTGCTATATACAGGTCGTCATATTAGAATGACTTTTATTATGTCAAGCTTACAGTAAAAGTAATGCCATTAAATTTCAACATTTGCATAATACTATCAAAGGTGAGACATATATCTATGTCAATAGTTTAATTAGTAAATGTATACCTTCTTATAAAATGTATTTATAAAATGTTAACCTGACTATATTAGCTATTTGGTTTTTTTTGTATGAGTTTATCAAGACTGTAAAGGATCAAGACTGAATACAAGTTTTGTCTGTGTTTAGAGTAAATTATAATAGCTTGAAATGAGTATGTTTGATAAGGGTTTTATTTGATGATTGATTGATTGATTGTTGGTTTGCGTAACTTCCAGTGGCAAATATTTCATGCATATTCAGGACGAGAACAAATTAACAATAAATGCAATAGGTAGGTTCTGTAATTGGGGCGTCCGGGATTAAGGTCGGAGAAATTTAGACTGCCACGGGAAATGAGGGTATATTGGATAGGGACAGAAATTTAGCCTTGCAACAGGTCAACTACGGCCCCTCAAAGAGTTGTTGCAAGGGTTCTTAACGTGCAAAGAGCGTGGCACTCTCTTTACACGAGGCATTGGATTTAACGCCCCAATTCTGACCGGACGTGGCTGCAAATTTGTACATTCCGCACAGCCAAACGGACGTCCCACTTTAGCAAGGGTCTTACTGCCGGTCGGAGGAAGACCAATGGTGACCATACTTCTAATCTCCAGTCACCCTTGGGGTGGGTTTTATTTGATATCCAATACAAAGTTCATTATTTCAAAGAAAGAGAAATAGAACTTTGAAGATGTAATGCTGACATTTTAATATACCCCAAATAGGCCAAAATTGGAGATTTCAGTGACATTTAACATTTTAGACCTGGATACATACAACACAAGGTTTGAGAAATTGAAGTCAGATATGTTATTTGTTATAAAAACAAATATATAATAATGATAATGTTACAGAATCTGTTTTTCTATGCATGCAATATGCTTTCAAATGTCATAAAAAAACCTTTTTAAATTCAACTTTGCATCTTTTCATTCATTTAGGTGGTAAATTGAAAATGATCCTAATTTTTACATAATGATAATAAAGGTCAATTGACTTTCCAATAAAATCTTTCTTCCTTTATTTAAAAAAGTACATCAGTATGGATTAACTTATACATAATGCATTAAGTGTTTATTATATAAGACTGCTAAGCAATTCTAGATGATGTCAGAGAGACAGCCTTAACCAGGTTTAATTACATTTATAAGTGTCATTTTAAAAATAATAAAAGGCATAAATCCTGAAATGGCAAAAGGGAAAATCGTCAATTGTGACCTCAATTTTGTCTATAGTAACAACATATTTAAAATGGAAAAACCTTAATAGAACAATTCTAAACGCTTTCACACAGAAACAAAATTAAAATAGAGGCTCGCCCCCAAGAGCCTGTGTCGCTCACCTGATTGTACTTCGGTTTTGGAAATCATGTAAAAATATATTAAAATTATAACAGATACCATAATAATGATTGAGGCCAACATTTGGTTTAATATTGGCCCCGTAATTTAATCAAAAGTAGAAGACTTTTGTAAAGTTTACAGAAATTACCAATAAATTCATTGAAATTGTAGAAAATGACTTTATAAGGACAATGACAAATCAGCTACAAAGTAGCAACACTTGGTCAGCACCTCAAAAGAAACTTTTATACCATGTTTGGTTTCAATCCATTTAGCGGTTTTCTAGAAGAAGACATTTGTATATATTTCCAATAGGGTCCTTTGTGAAACTAAGTCCCCCGTTGGCAGCCATCTTGGTTGATGGATTTGCTACAAAGTAACAACACTTGGTCAGCACCTCAAAAGGAACATTCATGCCATCTTTGGTTTCATTCCATTCAGTGGTTCTTCAAGAAATGATTTTTGTATATATTTCCCATAGGGTCCTTTGTTAAACTAAGTTCCCCGCTGGCAGCCATCTTGGTTGATGGATTTGCTACAAAGTAACAACACTTGGTCAGCACCTCAAAAGGAACATTCATGCCATGTGTTGTTTCAGTGGTTCTCTAAAATAAAACATTCTGTTTGTATGTGCCTGTCCCAAGTCAGGAGCTTGTAATTCAGTGGTTGTCGTTTGTTGATGTGTTACATATTTGTTTTTCGTTCATTTTTTTGTACATAAATTAGGCCGTTATTTTTCTCGTTTGAATTGTTTTACATTTGTCATTTCGGGGCCTTTTATAGCTGACTATGCGGTATGGGCTTTGCTCATTGTTGAATGCCGTACGGTGATCTATAGTTGTTAATTTCTGTGTCATTGGGTCTCTTGTGAAGAGTTGTCTCATTGGCAATCATACTACATCTTGTTTTTTTTTTATTTGTATGTATTTCACATAGGGTTCTATGTTAAACTAAGTCCCCGCTGGCGGCCATCTTGGATGATTGATCGCCTAGAAAGTTACAACACTTGGTCAGCACCTCATAAGGAACATTCATGCCATGTTTTATTTCATTCCATTTAGTGGTTCTATACAAGAAGACATTTGTTTGTATTTCCCATAGGGTCCTATCTTAAACTAAATCCCTTTCTGACGGCCATCTTTGATGATGGATCAGCTTCAAAGTAACAACACTTGGTTAGCACCTCATAAGGAACATTCATGCCATGTTTGGTTTCACTCCATTCAGTGGTTCTCTAGAGGAAGACATTTTTAAGTATTGTCCATAGGATCCTATGTTAAACTAAGTCCTCTGCTTGCGGCCATCTTGGATGATTGATCGCCTACAAAGTAACAACACTTGGTCAACACCTCATAAGGAACATTAATGCCATGTTTTATTTTATTCCATTCAGTGGTTTTCTAAAAGAAGACAATTGTATGTATTTTCCATCGGGTCCTATGTTAAACTAAATCCCCCTCTGGCGGCCATCTTGGATAATGGATCGGCTTCAAAGTAACAACACTTGGTCAGCCTCTCATAAGGAATATTCATAACATGTTTGGATTCATTCTATTCAGTGGTTTTCAAAAAGAAGACATTTGTATGTATTGTCCATAGGGTCCTATGTTAACCGAAGTACCCTGCTGGCCGCCATCTTGGATGATGGATCGGCTTCAAGGTAACAACACTTGGTCAGCACCTTATAAGGAACATTCTTTTTATGTTTGGTTTCATTCCATTCAATGGTTCTCAAAAAGAAGACATTTGTATGTATTGTCCATAGGGTCCTATGATAACCGAAGTCCCCTGCTGGCCGCCATCTTGGATGATGGATCAGCTACAAAGTAACAACACTTGGTCAGCACCTCATAAGGAACATTCGTGCCAT